TAACTGAATTGAATTTACTAAACTTATAATGGAAAAAAATAAAACAAATGAGAAGCCTTACACTGAGGAGACAATTAAAAACGCATTGAATAAGATTGAAAATGACAAGTTCAGCTTAAGAGGCGCAGCTCAGTTCTACCGCATACCAAAATCAACTTTATCCAACTGAAAATTAAATAAGATTTTAATAGTTGGTAGTGGCAATACAACAAAATTGAGCCCTTTTATTGAGTTAACCATAGTTCACCTTCTTTAGATGCTTGGGATTGGGGCTTTGGTAGATGAATACACATGTGTCATTAAATATAGCCTTAAAGTGTAAAGAAAACAATATAAAACTAATTTGCATTCCCGCCCATTCATCTCACATTCTGCAGCCTTTAGATGTTGGTGTATTTTGCCATGTTAAAGATGTTTGGCGTGATATTTAAGAAACTTTTATGCTGAAAGTGGTTTTAGCAATTTGTCTAAATATATTTTATCAAGTCTCCTTGCACAGTTGTATAGAAGCAACAAAGATTACACTCGTACTCAAATTATTGCTGGTTTTGAAAACACTGGGCTTATTCTATTAATTGAAGACAACATTGACAAATCAAAATTACAAATTTGTCAAACTTTTAAAAATGCCTTAATAACATCATCAGCAGTTAAAAAATCACCACACAGCCTTCTTTGCCTCAAACTGCACAACAAACACAGACCTTAATTCCGCCTGCAACTCCAATTTCAATTTCAACTTTCAATTTAACTTCTCAAGAAGAATTGGTGACTCGTGTAAAAATTAATCTTGAAAGAGCTCTCAATTTCAACTCCAAAACGCTTACAAGCATCCTGAAAAAAAATCCAGAAATGTAAGAACAGCGGCTGGTCAAGCTTTTACAGAAGAAGCTAGTTAAATAAGTTAAGAGAGAAAGAAGATGCAAAGCTGTTAAAACGAACATATGTTGAAATTGCAGCAGCAGATGTAGAAACTCCTGCCAAGAAAGCCAAAAAAAAGTACAAAAAATGCCCAAAAGTTTTTGAAAATGAAATGCCAGAGATGCAAGTTTTATGGAAAACTTGTGAAAAATCTATTTGCAGTTCGGGCCTTTTTGAACCTTGTCTCCCAAAAAGATATATAAAAGGCGAAGAATTCTTTTGCACGAACCTAGTTTATAAATATTTTATTATTTTTTTAAGCTCTAGCTTGCTTATGTTTTTTTATTTTTTTTTTTTTTTCTAGTTTTTTTTGCTTGTATTACTATGTGTATATTTTAAAAATAAAAACATTGAATTTATCAATTTATCTATGGTTTTTTTATATAATTGGGAACTGTCTGCTTCTATGGACAATTTTTCGAAAAGCAGTCACTTTTTAAAAGAATAAGTCTTATTTTCCATAGAAACTTGAAATTAATTTTTTTTTTTTTTTACACAACAGAATTGCTTTAATAATAAACTATATTCTAGAAAAAAAAATCTCAATATTGAAAAAGTTATTCAGTTTTTTGTGAAGAGTGTCCAGTTTGGGGTACTTTTACTATAATAGAAATAAATTAAAATAATTAAATAAAATAAGTTATAACAAAATCAAGTTAAATATAGATTATATTTATAATCAAATTCTTCTCTTTCTTTTTTAATAGATAATTTTTACTTCTATTTTTCTTTTTTTACTTTTTTTTTCTTTATGATTTTTATTGATTATTTGAATGGTTCTAATCTTTTTCGAATTCGAGATTCCTTAGTTAACTAATAAACGTTTTTTTTTTTATATTTCTGGTTTCTTTATTGAAAGTTGTACTTAAATTAAGTATTAATTTAAAAGTACTTTTTCCTTTTCTTTTTTCTTTCTTTTTTCTAATTTATTTTCCATTTGTTCATCAAATTGTTTCTTTATTTTATTCAGTTTAGATTAAATACCCTTTCTTTATTGATCAGTTAGAAAAACACATCCACCATCCCTGAAGACGTTGGATATATCTTATCATATTTGCATATATAATATCAGCTCAAAAAATAAAATTAAAAACTTAAAAGTAGTTAATTTTTAAACACACGATTAGAAAAAGAAAGATTCTGAGCATTATAATAGAAGCTGATTTTGTGATTATATGGAAGCTGTTAAACAAGGGCTATTTCTCTTGCCTCGATAAGGCAGGGGATATAGCTTTTGATCTCAAAGGCTTTCAAATAGACTGGTCTGGGAGAAGTTTTTAAATGATTGCCACAAATGGCACCACAAGATTACATTCTGTATTTTTTGTCTATATTAATGATCTTCCTGATAATTTTACTTCTAAAGTATTTAAGATATGACAATGATGCAACTGCTATTTCAGTCTTGACAAAAAAGACATTTAGAACAACTTAAATCTTTTATATGTTCTTTTTGCTGTGATAGCTTGCGGTGGCTAGCAAATATTACCATGATTTAGTTATTCAAACTCAGTAATATAGTGCTAACAATTATTGCAATGTTGTTGATAATCCTGTTTTGATGAATAGCAAAAGTCCTGAGCCTTCTACATTATTATTTTTTTTGATTCACTAATGTCCTCTTATTGAAAGCATATATAAAACACAAATGTCCTTTTTAAATAATTATTAAAAATTAGGACACATATGTCATTCTTGATGATCGAAATTTTTTTTCTAATCATATTTAAAATCGATTGCTAAGTTAACATCTGCTAATCTGCAAATGATTAATTTGCTATTCTATTAGTTAATAATATGCTAATCTGGTAATTATTGTCATACTTTTACTTCTGATTACATTCTTATTTATCCTTGTATGACATTTGTAATACTTGTATTGAATACTGTTATATTTGGGCTGGTTCTTCTAATGAGACCCTCTTTCTTTTAGGTCCATAATGAATTGTAAATGTTCATAAACGAATTTCAAAGATCCAACAAATGAATTTTAAAGGTCCATAAATGAATTGTTGGTCCTGTTCTAGATGCTAAGCTTGAGCCTTTGCTCTATAAGGGGTTTCACTTATCAACAAATACTACCATGTTAGCTGCTCTATAAGGTATCTCTTTCACTTATCAACAAATAATACCATGTTAGCTGCTCTATAAAGTATCTCTTTCACTTATCAACAAATACTACCATGTTAGCTGCTCTATAAGGTATCTCTTTCAGGTTTGAAACAAACTATTCTTTTTAGAACTTTTTTTAATACTTTTTGACTTTTCTGTGGTTTTAAGTAGTTAGTATGAAAATGAAAATAACTATGCAGTAAGAAAATTTTTTTAAATACCATTAATTATATGTACAAAACTTTATCAGTGTTGGAAAAGTAATTGATAACTTTTTTTTCTCAGTGTTGGAAAAGTAATAAATAACTTTTTGCTATATCATGTTTATAAATGTTAGTAATAGCTTCTATTTATTTTGTGATAATTTAAAAAAGTTTTTTTTCATTAAGTTGATTACAATCCACGAGTTATTGTAATTTTTTATGAAATTATTTGCTTAACATTTTTTTGTATAATTAAAAAAATGTTTTACAAATTTTTACACTATTTAAATTGAGAGTTAACAGAAAGTAATTAAAGTTAACAGTAATGTTAAAGTTGAGGAGAAAACAAGCAATACTTAAGAAACTGTCAATTGTATGAATCTAGAAAAACATAAAGAGAATTCCAAAGCATCGCTGTTTAAGAAAGAAAATTATATAAGTGAAAGTTTTTGGAGGATGAAAACAAGTTTTATTAGAGAATATGCAAATCACACAAAAATAGGAAAATGACAACTTCAACTGTTTATATATATATATATATATATATATATATATATATATATATATATATATATATATATATATATATATATATATATATATATATATATATATATATATATAGAGAGAGAGAGAGAGAGAGAGAGAGAGATGTATATAGATATATATGTGTAACAGTTTTAGCTACCTTCTCAACACTTTTTTTGCCAGTAGAATTAGCCATTGAGTCACTTTGTTTCAAAGACACCAATTTAATTTCTGCAGATACAATTATTAAAATGGTGTATTGAACTAAGAGCTTCTTAATAGATTAAAATAATATATTCTTGCAAAACAGTGTTGTCCAATTTATTTTGTTATCTGCAAAAAGCTCTTGAATATAATATCAAAAACATAAAATTAGTAAATTTTCCACACATATCTAAAGTAAATATTTGTTATTCACTGTTGGGTAATCAAAAAAGACTTTGATTCAAAGGAAAAGTGAAGAATTTATTTTCCAACACTAATATACTTTTGCTTCGCAACAAGTTGCACAATAATTTCTTAACTTTGAGGCCATAAAATTTAAAATTGATGAAACATAAAAAAATGAAAAGTTGCTTGAAGCCATTTGTAAATTAATTAACTAAAAGGTTGTCAGAAAACAACCAGAAAATGCTAGTGATATAATCAAATGGTTAAAACATGAAATGAAGATATTTGAAGATGAAGATGTGCAAGGAAAATATTCCCAAAAGATTTATGAACTTCTGTTTTCTCTGGCTTGCCTAACAAGTGTTGAATCAAAAAAATTTCTGCTCTGAGTGTAATTTTAAACAAAATGCAGAACAATACTCTAGATGTTTTTTTATTTTTTAAGAGGGTAATCAAATGGAATTAGAGAAAGTTCAATGCAATTAAAAAGTTCTACAAAATTTGTAAATTTACTTTTATTATTTTAAAAAATTATTTTCATATAAATGATGTTAGCAGACTTGAAAAAAACTTTATGGATTTTAAAGCCTTGTTTACACAATTATGATGGATCCTGATAATGCAAACTTAGCCGATCCAACAACTCTACTTATATGGAAAGATAGCATACGCATCAAGGTACCTGGTGATGCAAATTTCGAAACCTTTTAATTTTGTTCGCGGAAAAAAATTTAATTTGAATATTCAAAGTGAGTGAAATTTTGTAATTTATTGTAATTTTTTGTAAATATACTTGAAACATTTCATATTTAGTTTAAACAACTATTGGAAAACAAAATAACTTACTGGCAAGGGCTTGTTAATAATTAATGAATGAGAAATATTTCCTGAAAAAAAAAAAGAAAAAAAAATTAAACACAAATAAATAAATAAACTATTAAATGAAAAAAACTTTCAAATACATAGACATGGTTATATGCATAATTACATACACTACTGATGTCCAGGTCAATTACATATACAACTGATGTTCAGGTCCTACACAGTAATTCTGCATAAAGGCCTTATAGAATTTATACAACTTTTGGATAATATTCTTTATTAAATTTTCAATGTTCAAGATAATTCTAAACTTTTTATCTCTCAGATAATCTTTGAAACTGTCTGTTGATCTAAAGATCTGGTATTCAAATATATCTATTATTATTTCTCGGTATAGTCTTTAATTTTAAAACTTACAATGTTATTTTCATGATATATTGTAAATCAATTCTAATTCTAAAACAAAAATACAATATTGTGTTTTATCTTTAGAGTTTTTTAAACTTAATCCTTTAAAAATGTAGATTCAATCTACAAAACATTATATTAAATATACTTTATATATATATATATATATATATATATATATATATATATATATATATATATATATATATATATATATATATATATATATATATATATATATATATATATATATATATATATATATATATATACATATATATATATATATATATATATATATATATATATATATATATATATATATATATATATATATATATATATATATATATATATATATATATATAGTTTAAGTGTTAATAATATATTTAACATCGTTAATAATATATTTTATATTTAAATGATAAAAAACATTATGTTCAGTTATACATTATTTTTATTATCTAATAATATTTCAACTTATATAGTATAAGTCATTATCAAACTAAAAAAACCGTTATACAAAATTCATAAAAATTAAAAACAAAAACGATGTCATTTCAATGTAGCAGATTTAGACTTGTTAAGTTTAACAAATAGTGGTCTCCAATGGCATATCATCACTAAGTTACCATTGTTGTGATTTAAGACATTCTCCTGCAATTTAGAGCACTGTAAGCGTTGTATTTCAATTGCTTCTCGAATCTTAGGCGTATAGTTATAAGAAATAATAGAAATAGTTTTTGATTTACTCCAGTTTTTCATTGAACCACATATATGACTTAATTTATTGTTAAAATAAATTTTGGCTAACCATTTGTTTACATTACCTTTGTTTTAAAGTAACTTATCAAACCCAACATACATAATAAACAATTTTTTAGGATTAAAAAAAAAATTTTAAAGAAAATTTAATGCTTCTATAAAAATAAACAAGAACAGCTTCAAAACATCAACATAAATAAATTTTTTTCATCTCAAATCACATAGATTTTTTTACACTGAACAAAATAAAATAAATCATTGATTTCAAAACAACTAAATAAGGCCAAATTTATAAATATAATTTAAAATATATATATTTATAAATTAACATATATATAAAACAAGAAGTTTATAATGAAATTTGAGAAAATGCCTTAAACTACCCTAAATATGCTCAATATTGTCGAAAAGTTTCTGAAATAGCCTCTGAACTTAGCCATGACAGATATAATTACGATTGATAAAAGGAAGTACACTTCCTCTATCCTTAGTTTTTAAAGCAAACCCAAAGCAGCAGGACATGGAACAGGTTGCACTGAATTACATGTTACCAGTAGAAAGACAATCATGATGATTAATAAGTCTGATCTGACAAATAACATGACAGAGTACTGGAAATTCTTTCATATAAGTTTAGCATAAGTTTTTTTTTACATTGTGGTTTTTCTTTGCAATAACTAACTTGCCTTTTTTTCATTGGTTAAATAATCACCATTTGGCTAAAACCATAGTTTTTCATTATACCAAGACATTCATTATTATTTTTAATAGTTATTTTAATTTCACACCATGATTATTAACAAAATATGCCAAAGTATCTTTGATCTTAGTACATTAACCAGCCCTAACATTTCTAACATTAGGAGTCTATTTCTCTTGATATCTATCCCTAAAGCTTTTTATTTAAATATTAACTCGGTGGACATTTTACACCATTGAAATCTAATGACCATGATCTAAAATCTAATTAGGCTTTTCTGTGCTACTTTATAAATGCAATAAGTAAGTGAGTTTAGCTTCATAAATAAAGTAGAGCGCCTCACCCAGAATTTTCCAAAAAAAGGTGAATATCTGTATTGAATTAATACTAAAGTCAGCATAAAAGGATTATTTTGCATAAAAATAATATGCAACCTATAAATCCTCATCAACATAACGAACACAGTAATTACAATAATAGTAATAAGCACATTTTATTAAATAAAATAATTTGCAAATAGTTCAAATAAAGTCATTCGAATCATTAGGAGGAATTTGGGTTCTTCCTGAACAAGAGAAAGGTTGATCAATTGAAATTCCATTACAATTTGTTGGAGAGAGAGTAGAAAAGCTTAGACACCTTTTGTGATTAAGGAACTTAGATTTAATAATGGTTGCACTAGGATAAAACAAGGAGGTAATATCTGGTTCATTGAAGTTATCTTTGCAGTCATCATTTATGTCATTATCACTGATCATATCAGCCATTGGTGCAAGATGTTCTATAGCAACAGTAATTTCACATCCATCAGGCATTCTTACATGAGAATATTGACTACTTGCCTCTAAAAGCTCAATCTCATCAACCAGAGGTTCATATTTACTGTGTCAAACATGTCTCTTAAGCAGTACAGGACTGGAATTTATCAACCATGTAGGAAAAGTGTCCATTACAAGATCTTCAACTGAAACCAAATAGTTGTTCGTGAGGTATAGCATTAGTAAAAGAGCAAAGTAAAGAACGAATTAAATGAAGGACATCAGGTAATACATGCCCCTAACTAATGGTAGATAAACTTCTTTGATTTGAGAGAAAGAGAAATTCCTTTCTAAACAATGTTGTTGTACCTCTCACATTGACCATTACCCCCTAACATTGAGCATTACCCTAAGGATTATAAAGAGTATTTAAAAACTTTATATTGGATTTAGGATTATAAAGAGTAGTTCTACTCACATTGACACCTTAAGAATTAAGAAAACTGCGTTTTCTTAATTCTTAAGGTGTCAAAGTACTTGCTTCAATTTTTCACTTTATTTGGTATGCCAGCTTTTTTACATTCAGGTCAAAGTACTTGCTTCATGCCAAATGAACAAAGTTCATTTGGCATGAAGCAAGTACTTTGACCTGAATGTAAAAAAGCTGGCATACCAAATAAAGTGAAAAATTGAGTTAAGCAATTGTTAAAGGAAATACAAAAGGAAACCTCAAAACCTCATCAATTATTGTTAGAAAACATTTGTTGACAGATGAAGACGGAATAGTTGACAGATAAAGACGGAAATAAGTTCTTTAAAATTGCTTAGAGGCATCTGTTTCAACTTCAAAACGAATATTTTCATCAACAGCTTGTAGAGCTGATTGAGAGATTAAGTAGATTAAAGGTTGAGTAGATTAAAGGCTGGTTAAAGTTGCTTATTTGAGTTTTAATTTAACACAAATTTGACACAAATTTGTGTTAAATTAAAACTCAAATTTACATTGTTATTTAAAAAGGCAGATTCTTTGATTTTTTAAAATGATACATTCTGGTAATTCCAGGGTGACAAAGAGAATCATGTAGCTCCATAAGAGAGGGTCCATTTATTGTAATAGAGCAACAAAATAATCTAGAGAGGGCATCAGCATAATTGTTACATCCAGGGCAATAAACTGTCATAGCCTTAAGAAAAAAGGTTCTATCCTCCAACTCAGAATCTTGTCCTAATTTTTTCTACTCTTGCTATTATCAAACATAAAAGAACTTCTCTACAGAAGAATGTTTCTTTTCAGTTGAAGAAAATTGAAAGGCCAGTTGCAAGAAAAGAATGCAACTGGTCTTTCAGCCTAATTGAGAGAAGCAGCTATAATCAGAGGCATCTTTTTCAACTTAAAAGCAAATATTTTCATCAACAGCCTGTAGAGCTGATTTGGAGATTAGATTAAGAGCTTCAGCAGACAGTGGAAAAGTAGAAGTTGCAGATAAATGATAAATTTTGTCCGAAAAATGTTTGATATATTGGGAATAGTATGAGAACATACAAAGCACTGGACGGAGGAAAGCACTATCAGTGGGTACAGGCATTTCAATTAATGGCTTTAAGCAATACAGATCAGGAGGAAAAGAGCCACTTTATATTGAAATCTAGAAAGTTTATACAAGAGGTAGCAGTCACACCTTATATGTATGACCATGCATATAATACTTTGTTTTGACAACTTGGATAAGTTTTGATAATTAGCGGGTTTAAAAAATGCTCTAAAAAAAAACAAAGAAAACTTAAATTAAGACAAACAACCCATAAAATGAAAAGATAATAAAATCTGAAAACAGGGGGAGCGCCACGAGGGAGTTCTTTATGTGATGCAAGCCAAGAAACTTTTTATTACAGAGTAACAAAGTACTCTGAAAAATTTGCCTAAAAATTTTATTAGCATTAATGACTTTTTATTACTTTAAAAATGAATTTCATTACAAATATACATAGATTAAAAAAAAGTTCAGATATTTATTTTGTTCCTTGGCTTGCATCAAATACCATTGCTGAAAAAAAGCACCCTAAATATAAGAAAACAAAATAACCACAATAATTATGCATAAAACCTTGAAATAATCGCATCTGGAAACCTTTTTTTAACTATCCTAATAACTTTTTGATAAAATTTAAAACAACAACATTTTATTAAACTTCATGGCACTTTAAACAGCCTAATTTACTTACTTTTTTTAAACATTTTCCTGTTTTAAATATATCGGTTTCTAAAAAAATTAACAAAAAATCTGGGGGAGGAGGCGGGTCCCCTCATGGCCCTCCCCATCCTTATGTATCCACCCTTGTATTAGCCTATTTATTCATGGGAGGAAATGATAAAGCTAGATAGAATAAAAAAATTTTTTACTTTTGCTTATAATTAAGTTTCCATTAAATAATG